GGTTGTCAGCTTTTGTGTCAGGAGGCTTATACACTGTGTACACTGCAGCCACCAGGTGTAGCTGTAGTCGATCTAGAGTATAGCAGCCCTATGTGTTGTTTAGTTGTGAAAATGATAAAATGGGGTTAATTCCTTCATGTGTTGTAGAACAAGTAAGCTGGGCTCATGCTAGGTTTATGCAGTTTGTGTTGAATTCCATGTTGCTATTATTTGGCTGCTCTTAATGCCTGAGCTAACTACAGGAAAATTAGTTTGGATGTATGTCTTTGTGTGTTTCAGTCAGCTTCTGATGCTGTAAAAGTCACCACAGGAATCAGACTTGGCTAATTTTGTTTAGAACAGCCTTTTTCTGAAAGATGCTTCTTTCCGTGTGCCTGTCTCACAGGGAGGAATCTATACAGCAGAGCATACTAGTGACAAATTAGTGAAATGAAGAGTAAAGAGAGATACTTCATGCTGAAGCCGTAGAGGGAATAACTTCATTTGCTTAATAAAAAACATGCCAGGTTTTAAAATTCTTGTTAAGATGTTTGTTTTACAGTTTAAGAAATACAAAAGGAGAAATTTGCAATATTGATTCTTCACTGTGTGTATGGAACTCCCCTAGATGTTACCATTTCATGTGTCAGTATTCAGTTAGATATTTTTTTTCTTGGAGTGTTATTAAAAAAAATTTACGTATTAACTACATGTATCTCAAAAATATACAAGGGAAAACAAACAATCCTCCCGCTCCTTAAAATAAGCACTGTAGAATCATTGTCATCTGTATTTATTATCCAGGTGAGACAGATATTTGAGAGAATACTTGTTGTTTTTTTTTTTTAATTTTGTATTTTAATATCTGCAATGACAGAAAACAAGTAAAGCTGCTGAAAAGTTGATGAAAGGAGTTAATTAATACAATAAGGCTGGTCCTCGTAACAGATGTGTGCATCGTATAATTGCCCTTTGAAGGGCACACTTAGGTGGTGGGAAGATAGTGTCAGAAGGGACCAAAAGTTGTTCAGTCCATTCTTTCACCCTGTCTTCTCTGATTCTTTTGGTCCTGCTGAAATGAGCAGGCTTTGAATAGAGTATTTCTAGCACCGCTCTTTAATAGCCATTATCATTTGAATAGTAATTGTTAAATAATCCCCAAGTGTTTTCCGTATTACAGTACTTTATTAGAAAGCAGATATTCTTCTGCTTACTAATGCAGATAATACTAATTGCTGCAGATATGCTTCTGTTTTAATACCAGCAAAAGTAAATAGATGCTTTCTGTTTGGTCCTTTATGAACAAAATTCAGATAATTTTGCCTCACTCTTTTCTCTGAATCACATTATCAATTCTACTAGTCAGTCGTGACTGTGCTGAAAGAGGTGTTTAGTAAGAAAACTTGGTTGCTTAGCAATGAACATCATGAGAATTAAAATTTTAAAGCTGCAGTATATACATTTCTGAGTTATAGTATCTTTAAATCATAAATCGGTAATAGCTCACTTTTCTCTCCTTAAGGGTGTGTTCATATTCGTCTGTCTTTGGAGAAAATGTAACTCATACTAAACAAACAGTAACATTTCAGCGATGCAGAAAATTTTGAGGCACACTGACTCATAGTTATTTCTCAATTTTGTAGTTACCAGGAAAATCAAGTATTGCTCAAACTATATGTTTTTTAATCTTTGTTCTGTTTTTCCTTATAGTGGATTTTAAAAAATTTATCCCTGTATAATAACTCCTGAATGCATCTATGCTAACTTTAAAAAGTGAACAGTATAAGCTATAACAAACTAAAAAAGTGGAAAATTATCTGCAAAGATCATTCTGTAAATTGATTATTAGTGCTTTTTTCCAGTAACTTTTTTTTTCTGTGCACAAAAGGGCAAAGTGAGCATAAAGGCAATGAGGAAAAAAAATGAGGAAAAAAAAATATTTTTGCATGTGCTTTCTTTTCTACTATGTGTGTACAAATTATGCATGTTACATACAGCCTGCCACTTTAAAGTTCAGATATAATCTTTACTCCATCTCTTACTGTAGAAAAAAATTAGTGGTGACTTGGCCAATGCAGAAAATTAATCATGTGGGACCTGATGCCATTGTTAGAAAAGAAGTTGAATATATTTGGCTTTAGCTGGTTCCTTTACAAAACATGGAATTTTGAAGGTTTAAGTGTACCACGTGAGATGCATGTTTTGTACAATTACTAGTAACAAAGAGAGGCTTGTAACTCCTTTACATTAATTCAGGTGTTAAGTTATTTGCATTGTATTTTTGCATTTTCTACTTTATTAAATCATTTTTTAAAAGAATTCGAGGCAAAATTACATAATTAATAATTAAGAACTGCAATGCAAATGGCATTATATATATAAAGAGTTTAGTACTAGATCTAGCTTTCATTGTTTGAACCTTTTCTCATTTTTTGTGTATTATGATGCGAGAATATCATTTGATTGTCCTCTCAGCCACAGTTCGTTCAGCTGTATGGAAAACATTCTAACAGAAATACTTGCAACAAATTACTTAGACAGCTCAAGTAGTGAAAATGTAGATATTTATGTACACATAATAACAAAAAAATGCATCTTGCCTGAAATGTTTGAAATATGTGTGTGATAAAATGCTTCGACACAACCACAAAGGAGTGTGGGGTCACAAATCAGAAGTGTTTCTGGAACAGAACCCATAGTTATTTGGTACAGTATATTTGACAAGTGATAGTTAAGAATCCAATAAGCAGTGTGGGAAGCAGGAAACAATGCTAGCAACTATAAATATGTTTTAAAATTCTTGGTTAGGCTTCAGTGGCAACAGATAACAAACAGTGAGGGAAGGACCTAGTTGAAGACGTAGTGAGGGGAAGGCAAGGCAAGCTACCTAGGAAACACTTAATAAAAAAATCCAAAACTTGCTCAGAAATGTATTGGAAATTGTAAGAGCAGTGAAAAACAGAGGACTTGGACTTGACTTAACACCAAGATAAAATGTTAATCTTGTATCTGCTTAACACCATTTCACCTTTCCTGTAAGAAGGTGTAAAGCAGTGGCCACAGCTCTTCCCTGGGCCCTTCTTGAGGTAGCAAGATAGAGTCTGGTCAGTATTTCACTCGTTCTTTATTTCCTGGCAGCATCAAGGTTCTTTTAAAGGAACTTTGCAAGTTCCTACTTACAGTTTTTAATCACCAGTTTCTTTAGTTTGACTATTGCAAAGGAAACAGCTGTACCTTTGAGAGAGGTGGTGAATTCAAGTCACTTAAATGCTTTGAGCATACACAAAACTCATTTCCCTGAGATGCCTACATAATAGATGACTCCTTTATTTGCGGTAGAACCACGTGGCCTGCTAAGAAGGGATAATATTCTGAATGCTTGCCACGCTGTAGGTGGAGAGGTAATGATAGCAAGTATCATTACTTAACTGGAAGTCAGAAATAAACGGAGCCCTAATATAGTTTCAGACGTGGAGTGGGACTGAGCAGAGACCTCAGCTTTCCAAGAACAGGGCACCTGAACCTTTTCAGGGCGGTGGCACTGATTATGCCTGGATTGCTGGCGTTGACAAAGGTGGTGATTGACAGGCTTGCTAGGTCAAAATTCTAACTGAAAAGAGATACTGTCTGTACTGTAGTGATCCTGGGCTCCGGAATAGGATTCCAGATTTATTGAAAAAAAAACCACAGCTGCGATTTGAGGACAAGTAGTAATAGGTTTCTGTAGCTGCGCCTTTTCTCGCTGCTGAGAGCTGGCTTGCTCAGGGACAGGGGTCTGGGTCATAGTCTGTGAACACACATAGTAAATCTATAGTGATATCTGCTATAGGTAGCTCTAGGGGTTACAATAGGGTATAGTTTGGACTGTTCAGGACTGTGAAGAAATGAGGGAGAGGCCATGGTGCTGTTTTTGTAGCTGAATGATGGTATTACAAGTCTGGTTTGTAATCTGGAGGGTGTGAAGAAGGGTGCTGTGTTAAAGTAGTGGTAGTTACTGCTGCTGCTGCTTTCTCCTGCTCAGATCTTTCCATTCTGTTTGCTGGCTTAAAAGCAACACAGCTCTTCTTCCTTCCTGGGTTCCCCCTCTCAATGGTCAGTGGGAAAACTTGGTCCTGTGCTGTAATATTTTGGTAGTTGGTTTTTTTTTGTTGTTGGATTTTCTTATTTATTTGTTTTGGTGCTTCTGATCCAACAATGAGATGACCCTCATTGTTTGAGAATCTTAACATTATGCATTTGGGAATAAATCCTCCAATGTCCCAAGGCTGAGGGTGCAGGGAACAGTTGAGTTGCACAGATGGAGCGACTGGCTAAGGGTGGAGAGGCTTTGGGGCAAGCTGCCTTGTTTCCTGGGAGCTTTTTGAACAAAGTGTATAAGGGTGGAAGAGATGGGCACTGGAGACAGCCTGCCTCATTTTCTGTCAGCATGGCAATTGATGCTAAATCAGGTTATCTAACCTATTAGACAAAAGTTGCCTCTTCACAAATTGGCTCTGCTGGGTGTTTAAAGAAAATGGGGAAAACTCCTTACTTTTCCAGAAGTTACAATGTCTACATGTTGTATCTTTTTCTGGTGAAAGATCTGTGATATATCTCAGGAAAAATGACTGCAGTTGGTACCTACAGGATCTGTGGACTTTCAGGGCTTTCCTCACAAGATCCTGGATGAATATGAAAAGATTATTTAAAACACTCTGATTTAGTTTTTTAATAGTTTGAAGATAACTAGAGATTTATTTCTTTTTTAGCGGATTTTTAATTCCCATCTCAAATATTTGAAACATAATGGCGAACATTACGTCACAGGCCAAATATTTTCCGCTGCTGTGCAAGAGAGGGATGAGACAGCTAAATTTCCCTAGTCGGTGGCTTTCAACCAAAGGCTGACATGAATGAAAAAAAAAAAAAAAAAAAGAAAAGGCAAGAAACTCCAGGATGAGTCATAGAAGTGGGCGTTTCCATCGAGCGAGCTTTCATAACACATCCACCAATCTTATCACTAGCGACCGAAGAATAGTAAAGCACGGCACAGGACTGTCAGAGAGCAGGCCTCCTAGATAAAATTCTGCTTCCGAACACGGACTGTATATCTGAGCTGTTTTCTTCATAAGCGAGACAGAAGTGAGTATGCCAGCAGCAGTGCTAGAAAGTGTTCTTAGTATTAAATTTCTTTGTTTATACTTGAAATAATTTTTGGATTCGGGATTCTTTAGATCTGACTATGATCAACCTACCTTCTCGTTAAAATAAGATATCACTTTCAGGAAAGGAGAAATGAAATTTATTGTAAATTGCTTATATGATGTTAAATAACAGAAAACTAGAGATCTGTATGTGGAATAGGGACAATGCAACAAAATAGTGAAATCAGTTTTTATGCAGATAAGATATATTATTTTCCAGTTAAGAAAGAGGAGGAAAAAATTAACAGGAAAACTTGTGTAGCTCTCATTTACAAAAGTAAACATAAAAAGGAAGGTTAAAAAATGTGGAAGTAATAGTGTTAGTCAGATTATATTATTACTTATAGGAAAACTTGTGTAGCTCTCATTTACAAAAATAAACATAAAAAGGAAGGTTAAAAAATCTAAATGTGGAAGTAATAGTGTTACCCAGATTATATTATTACTTATAAAAAAAATCATAATCTCTTTGAGTGAGTCCAGTTGATTTAATTTCCAGTTGGGAAGGAACATACTTTGCTTGTAGTTTAAACTAATATTTAAGTCTTTGTAAGACAATGTAAATTTGGTCCTCTAAAAATTGGTTTAAATGGATTACTTCTGGAAAATCCTTTGTTGAAAGAAAACCAGTGGAGAAGTTAACAGCAAATTTGAAATCCTAAACAACCTTCTTTCTCCTCATCATACTTTCAAGGCTATTTCCAGTCTTAAGAACCTTTATCTTACAAGATTTCCACTGGCAAAGGGGTTAGGATTATTTACTGGAGGTGGAAAACCAGGCACGATAAGTTTAACAAAAGCCAAAAACATTCCTGTGACATTATGTTTAAAGAAATGATGACAACTTGGGAAAAAGAACAGAGATCTTTAAACTTGGACCAACAGAATCAAACTGTTCTTTATCCAGTCCCAAAGCAGCACAGTGTCATAAATATGGAAAAAAAAAAAAAAGTTTTACTGCAGGTGTTGTAAAGTGTTTCTTAGTTGCAATATTTTGTAAACTGAGGGTGTAAACTGTGTTGGTAACCTGTTCTTTAAATCTTTTTTTGGTAATTTTTTTTTTATATCTTTTGTTTTAGTTTTGGCAAGGTACAAGGTTATACATGATAATTAATCTATACATGATAATTAAAAAATTAAAATCCATTCCAGATTAACCTGTTACATCTATGTTGGCAAATAATGGGATTGTAAATATACTGCTGTTAGAGCTATGTGAGAGAAGAGCACCTCAAATAAAAACAGAGAATGCTGTAATAATGATATCTACGTATTTAGAGGGATACTCTTTGGGTAATGTTAAAGACCAGCAAGTATCTAAATATACCCTAATCTAGGTCTAACCTAGGCCTAACAATCAACATTGGAATTTCCATTCAAATGCAAAGAAACCATGGTTTTATTCCATATTGCATAAAGAACTTAGTATATGTTTCTTCTATAGTAAAAAATAGTTTTGATTGACTCAAAACTTGGCCTTTTTGGTGTTTTTTGATTGACTCAAAACTTGGCCTTTTTGGTGGGTTTTTTTATTTTATATATATAAGTGATTAGCATTTCTTTTAATTAGCTTGATTCCTTAAGGAAACTAGACTTTCAAGCAGTGCTTTCTACCTTTGTGTGTGTGTTTGTGTGTATGTGCATCACAGAAGGAGCATCAACAAGTGAGAGTCATTCCATTTGGCACTGTGTGGAGTGGGAGTAATTCCCTCTTGGCCACTCTTAAGAGGTCACAAGTGAATTGAGCAGAATATGAAAGATGTTTATCTCCAAAGCAAACAAAGCACACAATAAGATTTCAATCTAAGATATTTACCTAAAATTGCTCACTTGTAAACATACGTATTAAAATACCTACACTTAGTAGGTAGGTACTTTCCAGTGTCACTGGAAACGTGGGTTGAAGTTGATTGTAGTCTGGATATATATCTACCATCGCCACCAGTATGTAAATTTACCACAGCCAAGTGAGATGTCTAACTAAAGAGCATAAATTAGCATGAAATCTTGTAGAATGTTACTGTTTGGCCTGTTTCAGGTAATTATATATTACTGTGTAAGTGTTTCACAGATTAATAGTCTTTGTTTCATTTTGAGACCCGTCTTGGAGATCCTTTGACATTTTTATGGTTTTGATTATCAAATGTTACCTCTCTTCTAGACCTGTTGTTCTCTGAAACACTCTCATAGGCAACAGAAAACCACCATTTCATGTAGGGAAATAGTCAAGAAAGCAAGATTTCTGAGATGAGTGGTGTATCAGGGGCTATGATTTTCAGCATCTTATCACCTAAAAATGAAAGGATATGAAAACTCAGAATGAATAAGCTTTGACTTATGTGCACACTGCTGGTTCTTTCATTTTTCTTTTGTGGCTTATAATGCTTTATAAAATGTCCGTACTGTTTTTACGGAAAAAAAAGAGATCAATTTTTCATTTTAAAGATTTTTTTTTTTTTGTAGTATGTAAGATTTTGTTTCTATGTTTATTATATTTGTTTTAAATCACTAAATTAATATATTCGTGCATGTCAGCTTTACTGCCTGCTGTTCTACAATTTGTTTTAAATCACTAAATTAATATATTCATGCATGTCAGCTTTACTGTCTGCTGTTTTACAGAGGAGAGGAAAGTGGGACTTGCAGGTTTCTGAAAGTAGGCCTCTACCTAATTACTTTGGTAATCAGTTTTCTCTGGTTACCTGCATTTATATCTAGTTCACCATTTTATCTAAAACACACATTTCTGTGGGTGCAATTCCTTTTAAAAACTATTTTTCAAAGGCTCCATGATACCAGTTCAGCCCTTCACAGGTACTTGAATCTTATAGTTTGTCAGATCTTCCACTGGAATTCTTTGAACAAATTTTCTTCTGGTAGAAGACCAGAATTACAAGGGTTTATCCTGTCTTTCTGACAAAATGTAATAACATCCACTCTTGATTTTTGGAGTTTTCAATGCAGTAGGTACAGTAAACCGAGCACAAGATGATCATTTTGTAGAACCTTTGTGCATCCTGTTATTGACCTTTATGCACCCAACTTGCAGTAAACTTAGTCGGTTCTGATAGTAAACCCTTAGTGAAAGAGGCTGAAAAGGTTTGTGCTAAATTTGATGCGTACTGGAACTCCACGCTGTTGCTCCTGATGCAGACAGGCTGTTGGTGCAGTAACGGGCTGTAGGGACAGGTTTCTAGTGAAAGTGGTGGGTCACCCTTTTCTATTTTATGATCTTTAAATATTACTGAGATACTCCGTTAATTTCAGCTGTAAGTTTATTGTGTGGGAAGTGTAATTTTTTTTTTGTACGTAGAGTAACTGGGGGAGGTAAAGAGAGTTTAATTTGTGATTAAAGAGACAACATAATTATATGCTTTATTATGATCAATTTTTACACAGAAATGTGAATGACTAGGGACCTCTACTGACTCGTAAACAAAACCATTGTAGTTGAGTATTTCACAGAATTTGTCAAAAGCTAATTTTTTTTTTTATTTTAATTTTTTTAAAGGAACTTCATGTTGGTGGTGTTTATGCCAGAAAATAGTAAGCAAGAAAAATTAACTCTAGCCTCGTGTAAACTTTTAATTGGCCAACATGATGCAACTGCGTGTGAATTCCAGGTGGCTTTGGAAATGAAGGAGAACTGAGCTCTCTGGCTGGAAGCTGAACGTGATGACGGCCTGGTCTATGGTAGGGAAGCTGAAAATGGAGAAGAGGCACTCCAGAGAAGACAGAAATGTGGAACAAGATGCTGGGGAATGCAGTGCTGAGTCTGAGGAATGGACGAGCTCAGAAAGTGAACCTGAGCAACCGTACTTCAGAAACACCTGTAGCAATATTCAGTGGAGAGAAAAGGAGGTTTCCACTAAACCACATCGGCCGCTCTGTCGGTCCCCGTGTTTGGATCGCCCCAGTTTTTCACAGAGCAGTATCACACAAGACTTGAAGCTAGACGAATGCAAACCAAATTTGGACAAGGAATACCAAGCTAAAATGGATTTTGCTTTAAAGCTTGGCTATGCAGGGGATCAGATCCAGGCTGTACTGAATAAATTGGGAGCAGATGCGCTCATCAATGATGTTCTGGCAGAGCTTGTGAGACTTGGCAACAAAAGTGAATCGGAGGGACAAAGCAGTGCCAGCAGTACCACCAGTACTCTGGTGCCAAGAGGGCCTTGCCCAAAGGAAATAGCAAGCCCTGAATTGTCACTTGAAGATGAAGTTGTGGATAACAGTGATAACTTGAGGCCAATTGTCATTGATGGAAGCAATGTGGCTATGAGGTGGGTGTCCCTGTCACAACGTTCGAAAAGAATAAATCACTAAAATATTTATGAGAAAAATCAATATTGATGGCAAAGTAATTTTAAGTGGTGTAGTATATTTACACTGATAATACATCTTTTTTATGGACTCCTTAGTCCAGGCTTTTAGTTAAGCTGTTACTCCTTTATATCTGTATATAAAGGAGTATATCTGTATATAAAGTATATCTGTAATCTGTATTCCAATTCCCCTCCCTGCCTTTTCAAAGCAAGTTCTCCCCTCAAATCTTCTGTTGTAGCAATCCAGCTGTAGCGTGCTGTTGTGTGGATGGGTTTAATTTTTTTGAAGTCCTGGAACAATATTGAAAATTATTTTTCTTCAATATCCAGAGGGGAGGAAAACTTGGTTCTTTCTAAAGTGCCATGCAGTGTATGCTGTTGATACACAGTGGACTTCAGGGTATTTGAGCTCCTGCTGATCAACCCTGCTCAGAATTCAAAGCAATTTAGCTGTGTCAGTCCAGGGAATGTGCTGACTCCACAGCTGTGATGCTTGTAATTACAGACGTGTGTGTAACATGCACTTGGATGCTTGGATCAACACTAACTCCAGAGATATCTGTCCCATGCCACCCTCCAGCATGTCTGCAGGACACACAGTTCGGTAGTCAATTATTTCTTTATCACCGAGAAAGTATGATTTTTTTATAAAGGAGTTCTTGAAACAGTCTGTTTAGTGATCAGTAATATCAAGATTTCTTCAGGTAGTGTTTGTACAATAGATTTCCTTTAGTATCAGCTTTCTTCTCTGCTCTAGAAGAATTTGTGATCTGAATTATTGGTTTTTTTCAATGTATTAAGAAAATTCAGATTTTCATAGGTTTATTGAGCTCTCTGAGTTTTAAAATACATAACCCCCCCCCAATTCTATAAGAATATTTCATATGCAGGATTTTCCCGTGCCAAGTTGTGGTTACATCAATCAAAAAGATGTTTCTGTAAAGTAACATCACCAATATTAGATTTAAGCTTTTTCTTTCCTTTTTTTCTGTGCCTGTTGAATTTTCAGTCTCTGTACTGCTTGAGTTACTCCTGAGCATCATGTGCAGAAAAGTGTGTGTGTGCTCGTACTTTTGCATAGCTTAGACCTGATGCTCTATTTATAGAGTGATGGAAAGATAGAATATCTCAAGTAGGAAGGGACCCAAAAGGATCATCGAGTCCAACTCCTAACAAAACGCATATGCATCTGAAAATTTGAAAAGATATTAAATTCTGTAAAATCTGAAATTTACAAAAATCTGAAGAAAAATTCTTTAGGAACATTGCAGATTCTGTATTTGTTATTTAAGTTGCAAGAATTTGGACTATGTTGGTGATCCATAGGCCTTCCTTAGTTATAACTGATGGGATTAAACCTGTCTGACTTTGGTCTCTCTGAGTGTTACTTTATGTGACGTTTTTAGCCCAGGAAAAGAGTACACCTGTCATGCTTAAAAATACTGCAATTATTGGTGATGCAAATGGAGGCCTTGCCTTTAGGGTAAAATACTGTTGTAACTGGAAGGTGGCTATATATGGAAAATGGATCCATTTTCATTTTCAGTATTGAAATTTTCTTGAAGTAAACAGTTCTGGGAGACGCTACAGAGAACTAACAGCTTGGAACAGGGTGGTGCAGCAGCTGGATGCCGCTTTGTGTACCAACACCAGCTGGTGAAGTAGAGGGGAGGAGTTCCTACCATTATATAGCCTTAATTACAGCCAACTGCTCCGACTGCCCACGCACTTCAGGGCTGCTATCACAGAGTCCTCTCCTGTGTTTCCTGCCCCACGCTGCTCCCTGGGCCCCTTGGGATTTGTTTTTTAATAGGGATCATCATGGGTGCTCACAGCATCGCTGCCCTTCCAGTGTTCTGTAACCCTCCGACACGGCCACTCCACCACTTCCTCGTGGTGAAGATCTCCCTCCTCAGCGTGGCATCGCTGCTGTCATTCAGTTAGCGCCTTTTGCAAGGGATGGAGTGAAGAAATTCATTAGTTTTCTTCACAAGTTAATACAGAAGTTTTCAGAAATAACGACTGGTGGATGGCAAACTAACTGGGCAGCATCACTCCCATCACAACTGATGAAAAATCACAGCGGTGTTGAGAGAGGGGGGAAAAATGGAATTAATACATTTTTGAAAAGTATGCATCAAGCAGCATAGTGTTGGCTTATGAGTCTGCCCTTTTCAAATGCAATTTTGGAAGTACTTTGCTGGTCACACTGAAGTGTAACTAAAAGGGTTGTTGTCATTTGGTTGTTTTTGTTTTGTTTTATTTTTAGTAAAAAGGGCAGACCGATTTTTTTTTTTTTTTTTTTTTTTCCCCTCAAGTAGTTACAATATTAATTGAAAAGAACCAGAACCCTTAGTTTTTATTATCTAAATATATGGTGCAGCAGTAATAGATGCGCTCTGTTTTTTCAGACAAAGAAAATATTGGCCTGAATCCAAATATGAAATCCAGCCATAACGCAAAGATCAGTGTCTCTCTCTTACCTGTGTAGATGAACTACTGAGGATATTGTGATTAAATGTTGTCTGTGTGCACCTGTGTATTATTCACATATTCCTAACTATTTCCTGAGAGGAAAAACCAAAACCAAATGTAACTTTTTGCCCTTGTTGCTTCTAAAACTTTTGCATGTTTTTTCAGCCATGGGAATAAAGAAGGATTTTCCTGCCGGGGAATTCAGCTGGCTGTTGATTGGTTTCTGGAAAAAGGACATAAAGATATCACTGTGTTTGTACCTGCATGGAGGAAAGAACAGTCTCGACCTGATGCGCCAATTACAGGTAACAGATAAAGATTTTCTTGGTTAAAAAGAAAAAAAAAGACTTTCTGATGGTACTACATACCGGGCTGTGGATGTGATGTATGATGAGGTTGTGCTCAACTGTTTGTTTGAAAACACAATGATTTCCCTGGTGAGGAAACACGCATTTAAGCATCTGCACCTGTAAACGATGCTGGTTTATCTGACATTACTGCATCGTTTCAACACTTTGGAGAAGTAGTAGTCATAATTTTCCCATTAGCAAACGTTATTAACCATATATGAGCTGATTCTTAGTTGCTGGGTGAATAATAAAATAAGCAGTATCAGGTCTGGGACTTATTTAGTAGGATTACCTTGAACACTGAAGAGGCAGCATGTGTTTTGACCCATAGAAAGTTTTACTCTGGGCTAAGAAGGCTGTTGTAATACAGTAACAACTGAGGTCTTGAGGTGTTCAGGAAGACTGAGTAAAGGTACGTGGTTGTTTAGAGAGGAGCAGAGTGATTATGAAGCTTGAATATTCACCCAGTGCTTTGGAATTTCAGAAATAAAATGGCACTCTGCATCTAGGTATATTTTAATGATAATGGGGACCATATATGAACATAATTACAAAATACATTTTCAGAAAAGAGGGCAAGAAGTTTCATATTTCAAAGGCTGCATTTCTTTCTCTTAAAATTTTTTTAAAAGCTTCTCAAATCAAATTCTTTTACAGATCAAGAAATCTTACGTAAATTGGAGAAGGAAAAAATTCTTGTTTTCACCCCATCTCGAAGAGTTCAGGGAAGAAGAGTAGTTTGCTACGATGATCGATTCATAGTAAAACTCGCTTTTGACTCAGATGGCATCATTGTATCCAACGACAACTATCGGGATCTTCAAAATGAAAAACCAGAATGGAAGAAGTTCATAGAGGAGCGGCTGCTCATGTATTCTTTTGTGAATGACAAGTATGCCTTTTTCTTCAAAAGTACAGGAATTCGCTAATTCAGAATCCTCAGTAAAAACTGAAACTCACAGTTCATTTCTTTCCCCTTAGATTTATGCCTCCTGATGACCCTTTAGGACGCCATGGTCCAAGCCTTGAAAATTTCTTAAGGAAAAGGCCAGTTATTCCTGAACATAAGAAGCAACCGTGTCCTTATGGTAAGTGCCTAAGTCAGATTGATTTACTGTATTCAAAGGTAGGTGAAGCAAGCAATTAATTAACAGCTTCTCATTACTGGGTGGGGGGGGGACAAGCCATTTTTTGTTTTGCCATCCAAGCACTATATCCGTTTTTATACCCTCATACACATATTAATAAATACAATGTAGCAGAAAATGAAGGATTTCCAGATATACCTTGTGGATAATGCAGCTTTTTGCTGTTTTCTTCTGGTTTGTGTTCAAGGAAGGAGATTCATCACTGTTTTGTTTTAGATAGGATTGGTATGTTGTCAGTATTGAAATCAAGTACCGGTAGGAAGAAAAGTGACGTGTCTTGTCCTTGATGCAGGGATACATGTGGATACAGGTGGCAGAGTCTGTGACTGCCTGTATACACAATATATATATAATTATTCTGTAATAATTATAATATTACAGGGTTAATATTAATATAATATTATAGGGGTTAATATAGAAATATTATTCCTGCTTCAGCAGGGGAGTTGGACTAGATGATCTCTATGGTCCCTTCCAACTCTAAAAATTTAGTGAAATTACTATGGAGAAGTGGTGAAAGATGTAAAGAAAAAAGATAGCAACTAGCGATATCGAATAGTTTTTGGTTTATTTAACGTGAAAACGCTTTTTTTCCAGGTAAAAAGTGCACCTATGGGCACAAATGTAAATATTACCACCCAGAACGGGCAAACCAGCCTCAAAGGTCAGTAGCGGATGAGCTTCGAATAAGTGCCAAATTATCTGCTGTGAAAACTATGAGTGAGGGAGCCTTGGCCAAATGCGGCACAGGGCCCTCCAGCTCCAAAGGAGAGATCAGTTCTGAAGTGAAACGCATTGCCCCAAAACGTCAGTCAGATCCAAGCATTAGATCAGTAGCTGTGGAGCCTGAGGAAAAGTTATCGGTGGCCCGGAAGGCCGAGGCCAGCTCTGTCCCGTCTCTGGTTTCTGCATTAAGTGTTCCAACGCTCCCTCCACCAAAAAGCCATGCAGCTGGTGCATTAAATACTCGTTCTGCAAGCAGTCCGGTGCCAGGTTCCTCACAGTTCATGCATCAGAAATCCTCACTGGAACATATGTCCAGTGTGCAATATCCTCCTATACTAGTCACCAATAGCCATGGCACCTCGGTCAGCTACGCTGACCAGTACCCCAAATACGACTCGCTGGGGGACCATGGCTATTACTCCTTACTCAGTGATTTCTCCAACTTGAGCATAAGTAGTATCCGTAACACAGATTATTACGGGGCCGATATGGACCAGGGCATGTATTCTAGAAACTCAAGCCCCTGTCCTGACAGTTGCTTAAGCCATACGAGTAATGATTCTTATTCCTCTTACAATGACTTGTATCTGGGTGTAGCAGATGCCAGTCCAGAAGACAATGTGAAGATCCACAGACTGCCATCGCAAAATCGCGTTCAGCCTTTTCCCCATGGTTACCATGAAGCCTTAAATAGAGTCCAGAGTTACGGACCCGAGGAGCCTAAGCAATCCCTTCGCAAACAGTCAGTTTCCCACTTAGGCCTCCATGCCCAGCATCCGGTTGTTGGAGCGCGGTCCAGTTGTCCAGGAGAATACCCTGTGCCTCAAAACGTTCACCCATCGACTGCACAACCAAGCCGTGCCTTGGTCATGACGAGGATGGACAGTATTTCTGACTCAAGGCTTTATGAGAGTAACCCAACGAGGCAGAGGAGGCCCCCTCTGTGTCGGGAGCAGCACGCCAGCTGGGACCCCTTGCCCTGCGCCTCCGACTCCTACGCCTATCACTCCTACCCCCTCAGCAACAACCTCATGCAGCCGTGCTACGAACCCGTCATGGTGAGGAGCATGCCCGAAAAGATGGAGCAACTCTGGAGGAATCCCTGGATCGGGATCTGTGGGGAGCCCCGGGAACCACACATCATCCCAGAACACCAGTATCAAACCTACAAGAACCTCTGCAATATTTTCCCTCCCAGCATTGTCCTTTCTGTGATGGAAAAGAACCCCCACATGACAGATGCACAACAGCTGGCAGCTATGATTGTTGCCAAATTAAGAACAGGGCGTTAAAGCATTACAGCCTCTTTTGGATAAATGAAACTCTACGGCGCGAAGAACCCAGAGGAAAACTTACATGAAGAAGGAAGGGGCCAATCTATTGTAAATATTTTCTACTGAGATAGTATAAAATTCTGTATACAGTAGCAATCACATATATATATATATATGCTGAGGCACAATATAAGAGTTGATTGTATTGTAAATTTTAAGATTTTAAATATAGGGATTTTTAATAGTATTTTATAGGAAATGCATACCTTGCTGCATGGATAGCTCATTAAGAACTACGATGTCACGTTCAGTGTCTCAAAGCTGTTACTACAAAATTATTGTTAGCAATTATATTGCATGTATTAGTGTACACATTCAATTTGCTTATAAATACCTAATTGGCCTTTAAAAGTACGCTCTACACACACCCGGATGACTTTTAGGGTTTCAGCTTTGTCATTTGACACTGCTTCCTGGCATATTAAATAGCGAAGAAAAAGTAAACGACAAAAATTAAGAGTCAATTTGTAAAAGGAAAAAAAAAAAAAAACAAAACCAAAACTATTTCAGCTTTTGGACGTCAATATTGTTGTTGGTACTTAAAATTCCAAAACGGTTCCCCAAGAGTTTGAGCATTTATTACATTGGCCAATACGTGGGCTCAATCCACCAGAAGCCGAATATTGTATTAAATTAGGACCAAACCATTAAGGAGCGTGAAGGCGTCAGCGCCGTTGGGTTGACAAGAAGTTGAACTGTAGCTTCTCTCTTCAGAACCGCCTGAACGAGGAGCCAAACTGAAAAGAAATGGTCGGTTTAATCTAAATGGGATTATTCAGCCCAAAGTGGTAGAAACTGGATGTTACAGTTCATCAGTAACTACAGCCCTTCCTGCGGGGGCCGGGATGGCGTCGGAGCCCGGCCCCGCACCTGGGATCAGCTGGAGAAAGGGGGCTGAGGGCAAGGGAGGGAGGTGCTTCTGGAGCAGAGATGCTACAGTTGGGGTTTGGGATGAAGCTGCCCCGGTTTTTTGCTCTTCAGCTCCACGCAAAGGTGTGCATTTGCCTCCTGAAGGCTTTTAGAGTTCCTGTTTCGACAGGGGAGATAATTTTGTGTGGCATTGTTTTGCGCAACCGGTATCTTGCTCAGGGTGGGAACCTTTGTAGCTAAATGTCTCCAAAAAGAGGCGTTTATTGTTTTTTAAGCTGCACTGACTGGACGCCCTTTTTTGAATCCATTGTATATTTCAACATTTCGAACCATTACTAACTCGATACGTCTCGAGCTAGGACTTGTTGACTTCTACTGTAGTTTTTTTCATGAAAGTTGAGAAGGCCTGGTTTATGGCCTTTTTGTTTCTTCATGAGAAGGTGTGACACTGCCTAAATGTTTCTTACTGTGAAACACACGGAACGTGAGGCTGCAGTCAGGGTTGTTTCTGGTGTTTTGATAAGGGCTTGCATGCTGCTTCCTACTTATCTGTTTGTCTGGGAACAAAAGCTCTCTTAATTTCTTCCACTTGTGTTACCGTAACGGTTGCTTTGATTCAAAATAACCTTGTGGGCTCTTTATCACGTGCAAAATCTGTTCCTGTCATATAAAAAAAAACCAAACCCAAACCCCAAACAACCAGCAATTACAGGTGCAACGACGGTTAATTTACTCGTATTTGATGACCGTAGCATTTGGCACAGGAGAAATCTTCCTGTGTTGGTAGAGGTAACATCTATAATGACATTATATATGTCATTACAGATGTCGTTATATATGAGAGATATATTTGTCATTATAGATATGACATTATATAATGTCACTATGTACTTCAAATGAATTAACTGGAAGGTGATTCTGTATTTACACTTGGGTGTTTAAAAATACCTTCAAGTTTGAAGGAGTTCGTTAACATCTCTGTTAACAGGGAAAAAAATAAATCTTCAGATGTTTATAGTAGTTGGAGAAAACAGATTTAACTCTTGACCACTTTTTCGAAAACATTTCTTCCCGACCAGCATTTTATATTTTTAATTTGCGATTAATTCTTATTCTCTTCTCTTGCATGGTATAAGCAGCTGAGAGCAATGCCTCAAATAACCAGAAATGACCTTTTGTTTGTTGATACAAATTGTATCTCTTTTTCTTGATTGTATAAAAACTGTGTATAAAAATAATAATAATAATAATATAAATCTCTAGATTAACTTCAGTATTAACATTTTCACCACAACGTTTGTGACACCGTGTGTCACAGGGAAGTAGCCCATGAGTAATTATGGATCTTTTTTTATTTAAAATGGGCACTTGTAGTTTATAGACAAACAAAGGACAACTTTTCAGAACCAGTTTATTACGTGCACAGGTACTGTGTGTACACCTCGAAGCATTACATAGTTCTCTTGAGTCTATTTATTAAGCAGATACATTCTTGCACTAAACTTTATGTAAAAAAAAAAAAAGTTGCTGTTGACTCATCTGCATGTGTTTAAAATGTGACAGTAGAATTGCTATAGACCCTGCTTTATTCTTAACGGATTAATTTATGAATTATTTAGGTATAAAATGAAGTTTCTTGTGCACTCAACGTTTTTCCATCTTGCATGGAATTAAATATTTGTATGTAGAAAAATGTTTGTTCCCTTTTTCTCCAATTATAAAGCTAAGCTATTTAAAGAGAGGTTTGGTAGGTGTTTTTAGTGTTTCCCAACATGGAAAACTAAGCAGAAATTTCTGGGTGAAGCGTTGGGTGGTTTATGGAGATAACTCATTTTTGTAGGGTTTGTCTAGTCGTTTTGATTTTCACTAACTTTTGTCTTACTGATAGAATAACTCACTTGGAAGCCAGGGGAATGCTACACTATCCAAACCCTGCACACTATTTCCTTAAGGCACTGGGAAGGCGGATGGGCTTTTTCTAGGAAGGTGTTGGCAGCGGCGCCTTGGGGAAATAATTTGCAAATTTTGTGCTTCTTTAGTCCTCCTTAGAGGTAACGAGGCTTTTGTATCTGATGTAGTTGTTCCTAAGTGATAATTCAGTCCATTTTCAGGTACGTTTACAAACCAGTTCAAACCACTGACCCATCCGTTCACCTTCAGCGCATAAGTTTAGATTTCTTCTGACCTGGAAGAGTTGATCTTATTATCCATTGCCTGCTCGTAACTGTCCATATTGTAAATAGGAGACTTTGTATAAATGCTCTTTTTGAGAGCATGGTATTTAAATGTTTTTAAAGCTGTAACGGAACAGTTCTAGAAACTATATTTTAATAATAATCCATGAAATTACAATTCTAGATGAGGGGGGAAAAAAAAGAAAAATAAGTGGGAAGGTAAAATCCTGGCCCCTTGGACTCTGCAAGGGTCGAGCCGAGTGCTCTCCTGGGGCCAGAGCGTTCTCTGGGAGCTCTGATTTCCCAATCTCTCATCTTTAGCTATAATCCTTTCACATATTCATCACTTCCAAGTGTATAACCTTCAATTCATGAATCAAAAACGCTTTACGAGACATCTAAGTTATTTAATGTTGGGTTGTTGTGTTGTTTTGTTTTGTTTTTTTAAAGAATTCCATGTCATTAATATATTAAATTGTACATAGAGATGATTTCACTACTGTTAGTCCTGTTGTCGTCGTATTGAGCTGCAGTAGTTGGCTTTATTCATTTGTAGAATGAAACATTACTGTTTAATCGTTGTAAAATTTTATAAATCTCTTTGGGTTTTTTTGGTTGACCCAAATATAATGTAAGTCTTAATGACAAAAACGAGTGAAAATGGCTGTTAAACCAGTACGTGGTATTTGTCAATCTCTGTAGTAAGACGCGTGCGCTGCTCTAGTCGCTGCTGCATGAAATTCATCCACTCCCACCACTCTCTTCAGCTGCTGTAAAAAAAACTGCTTTAACTGGAAACTTAAAACCCAGGGGGTGTGGATGGGGTGGCTCAGAACAAGCAGAAGGATCCTCATTAAAAAAAAAAAACAAACCCAAGTCCTCTATCTTGGCCAGTTTCCCTCCATTCTTTTAAAGCCGTTTTGCCTCAAATCGTGAATTCTTCATTTTGAAATTCTCAATGATAAAGTGAGAACAGACAGAGAATGTGTCCAAAGAGTTAACACCCAGCGACAGGCATTTATACCCATGGGGTGTGACCAAACCCCACAGGAACAGGTACCAGGGACACCATTTGATCACAGTCACTTCTACCAGGAACCTGCCTCATTTCTCTGCGACTTCGCTCCAGGTGGTTGAATTATTAATTAATTTATTTTTTTGACTTGCCAAAAGTTTACCTGAAGGGCTTGGTACTGCAGGACCCGGCGCAGTCAGATCACTGGATCTGTCACTGTCACTTCTCTGGCCAGTGTCCGGCTTTAACGCTCCTCTTCCCTCCCCAGGGCCTGGCTGGGGGGGTGGGGGGGGACACACGGCCCTTCTTATTAACTCTGAGTTCTTGCAATATTTCAACTGGAAAAATACTCTTCACTTACCCTCCTGCTGCTGTTTGGTTGGTTTTCCAAGAGCCATTGTACAATATCTATGGGTTTGGTCCGTGGTATTTAGTATTTAAAGTTTGTAAATGTATTAATGGAGAGAAGAATCTAAAAGGAATAGAGGCTATTACCTGTCTGTCCCTGCCCCCCACCCTGCTCTGTGTGAAAGGTTTGCACAATTATTTAATAATATGAAACATGTTATACTTTATATATATATATTAAAAAAAATGCTTATTTAATAAAACTGAGAGCCATTGGATGATTGGTTTCTGGCTTTTGATTTTGTAACCCTCTTCAGGCGACAGCCCCCAAAAGCTGTTTTGTCCAAAACAACTGTTGTGATGTCTCCAAATAATTTGTCAGTATTTTTAATTGATTTTACTGAAAAATACCCAGATTCTGAAATTGTACATAATGCTCAGATTTTCCATCTGTGCTTAAATCTGTGAAGAACGGGACAATAGTTTGACTTTTCTTTAAAAAGCAGAGGAAAAAAAAAGTATTATTTAGGTCCCTTGTTGGAACAAGGGCCTGTGTCCATCTCCATTACACACATTTTCTTTTGCTGTTTAAACACCTCATCGTTTCCCAGCCCGTGGGGCAGGTGACACAGCGTCATTTATTGCCATTGCTTTGACTCAAATGGCTTTAATTTTGGGGGGGGGGAATAAAGTGAACAAAAGGGAAATGATACACAAAAATCACCTCTCTCTTCCCCGTTACCGTGTTTGCTCTCAGAGGGGCCAGGAACTGGATGAGTCACAGGACGGCACAAAACTCATCAAAACCAACCCAATACCTGTATTAAAAAGCTGCTTTTTCCTAATCCCGGGCCGTTTATGCTTAATTTATACCCTTAAAGCACAAAACTCATCAAAACCAACCCAATACCTAAGTGAACAAAAGGGAAATGATACACAAAAATCACCTCTCTTCCCCGTTACCGTGTTTGCTCTCAGAGGGGCCAGGAACTGGGCGATTCACAGGACAGCACAAAACTCATCAAAACCAACCCAATACCTGTATTAAAAAGCTGCTTTTTCCTAATCCCGGGCCGTTTATGCTTAATTTATACCCTTAAGTGTACTGCTCCTGAAAACAACTGCTAATGAGATTCCACAGTTCCAAGTTTTCTCCCCAAACCCGTAACCCCTGGGTAGAGCTGAGGCCCTTGTCAGAGCAGCTGCTGAGGGAATGAGGAAACACAATATTAAAGCCTTGGAACAGGCAGGAAGGAATTATCCCAGTGAGGTTCCCCTGCTCTGTCCAATTGCACTAAAAATAAATTAAAAAAAGGGGTCCCAGGCCTGAACTTCCCCTGCAATTCCCATTGGCAGGATTTATCCTGTATAATCCCAGCTTCTACCCCCAATTCTTTCTCTAGTGTCCCTTTGGGGAGGTTTGGTTTTTTCAGCCCGTGAAGGTCTCGCTGGGGAGATCCATTTCCCTTCGGGAATCCCTGCCCAGCCCCAAGGAAAACTCAGACCTGCTTTAGGAACACGTCCCTGCTCCCTGCCCTCTCCTTCTTTCTGGCAAAGAAAGTCATTAGCACCTTGAAAACAAATTTTACTGAGTAAACTTTTAATAAAGAGGAAAAATAAATGCTACGTAGCCTGTCTTTAGCCAGCATCACCCTTTCCTCATGAACTGTTGCACTGACAGCCCTCAGCTGCACCAAAACCAGTAACTATTTACTGGCTTCTGAAGTCCCTCGCGTTATTGACAGTAACACCGTCATTTCCAGGGGAAAGGAGCTACAAAATTGTTCCTCCTGTGAATTAATCAGATCAAACAAACACCGACTTTCCTAATCCTCAACAAAGCAACACATACATGTCTCCATTTTACACTTTTGTTATTTCAGGAGAAGCCCCTTTGTAAAAAATCTAAACTTTTCTATTTCTCTTCTCCAGCCGTTCCCGTATTCTTTACTTTTCCTTTGTTTCAAGCTTGCCCCCTCCCCCAGTAACAGCTGAGGAGCTGCTGGGTAAAAGGAGACATTTCTAAAAATAGAGGAAAGGGGAAGGGCTTACATGAAAAACCCCTCCTGACAGAACGAGAAGTTTGTTTTCTTTCACGTTACCGATGCTTGTTTTTAGAGAAGGAAGCGTACAACGTATCCCCCATTTCAAACAGCTTTGGGCCACCTGGTAAAGAGCAGCTGCAGTGGGACAGGATGGCAAAAAATCAGAAGAAATAAATAATACTTATATCAGGGACCTTTAGCTAAGCCTTTCCTAGAGACACAGCCCGAGGCATCCACGGAGCTGCTGTTCTAAACTTGCAATTCAGTCCTACCCCATGGACTCCTAAAATTACACAGCCCTTTTTGTATCTCTTTCTCCAGAAAATTAGCACATAACGCCAGCAGTAGCTCTAAAGAACTAAAAAAATGCCATTTCACAATTCTGCACTGACACAGTCCTGTTTGATTTGTAAATACTGCAAATTATTCCACTCGGAGCAAGGCTCTGTCCTACCCTGTAGCTGATACACTCCGACAAATCCTTACTGAGCAGTCCTGCCAAAAAATAGCTGCTTAAACTTCTAATTTTTGACAGAAAGCCTCCAATTTCCAAGAACCTTTAATCCAGGTAAAGAAAACTGAATTTAGGAAAAAGGAGCTGGAAGTCCTTTCTCTCAACAACTTCCCACCACGGTGCTCATGCCCATCTCTGCAGGAATCCCACCAGCGCTCCCACCAGTTATCAGCCTCAGCAAGACGATGAATAGAAATAACATCAAGCAGAAAACTTTAATTAAAAAAGAGAGTGTAGTGGCCTCAAGACTACCGCGTGAAAAAAATGGTGAGGAAAACAATTTTCAAAGCCATTTATGCTCTAGAGCGCGCTCAGCCAGGCTGTGACTGGGCTGGGGCCCTGGAGCTTCATGTGAAAAAGGAAAATGGTGGCACCATCTTATCACAAAGTCATGCAAACTCCTAAGAGACAACATTAGAATCATAGAATGGTTGGGGTTGGAAGGGACCTTAAAGATCATTGAATTCCAACCCCCCTGCCCTGGGCAGGGACACCTCCCACCAGACCAGGTTGCTCCCAGCCCCATCCAGCCTGGCCTTGAACCCCTCCAGGGATGGGGCATCCACAGCTTCTCTGGGCTCTAGAGTCACTCAAACAGGAAGGGCTCAGCAGTCCGGCTCACAAGGACCAGGGGAGACTTCTCCAGAACCCCTGAGTGAAAACAGGAGAAGCAGGATCCAGCACGGAGGTTTCCCTTCAGTCAGTTGTATTTATTAACTATGAAAAAAAAAATTAGGGAACGCTGAGGGATTCCAAAGTGCTCCCCTGTGTTTGGCAAACATCAACCAAAGTTCATGATAGTGGTTAAGCAAAACGATGGTTACTACACATGGAACTTAAACCCCCCCACCTTTACAAAACAGTCATTTTACAAGGTGAAAAAAGTCAGTAAATCTTCAAGGAAAAAAAAATATAACCACAGCTTCTCTGGGCTCTAGAGTCACTCAAACAGGAAGGGCTCAGCAGTCCGGCTCACAAGGACCAGGGGAGACTTCTCCAGAACCCCTGAGTGAAAACAGGAGAAGCAGGATCCAGCACGGAGGTTTCCCTTCAGTCAGTTGTATTTATTAACTATGAAAAAAAAAATTAGGGAACGCTGAGGGATTCCAAAGTGCTCCCCTGTGTTTGGCAAACATCAACCAAAGTTCATGATAGTGGTTAAGCAAAACGATGGTTACTACACATGGAACTTAAACCCCCCCACCTTTACAAAACAGTCATTTTACAAGGTGAAAAAAGTCAGTAAATCTTCAAGGAAAAAAAAATATAAATCCTGGAGTGGCTATTTCCCCATCACCATTAGTTCTTCCAGGCCACTTATCTTGTGCAACGTTGAGAGCCACGGAGTTCTCTGCTCTCTCAGAAAAGCTGAAGGCCGCTCTTTATTTTATGGAAGTCATTCTGGGTCCACAACAATCCTCCCGTCCCAGGAAAATTGAGTTCTGCAGCGCTGCGGGAGGAAGAGACATAAAGCATATAAGCACCCAGCTGATGTAGAAGCTCACAATCACCCAAGTCACTTCATTTCTAACTTTGTTTAACTTTAAACTTGTTAAGTTCTAGCTCCGAAACAAAAAGTTACAGCGCCCATAGATTCTGTGCGTGGAAACCAGCCCTTCCCATGGCTGGGCACAGAAATGGGTGCGTTTGCAGAGACTTCAGGGGAAGCTGTTGTTTGGTGACACCCACAGCACGCAAAGGAGTCGCTAATTTTAGAAGGTGGGTCACTCAAACAGGCGTAAAATCCCTTTTCGTTGGGGAAGTCGCCCAGCTCAGGCTGAGCCCCCGGAGATCCCCCGAACGATGATGACGACTTGGTAACGCCGGGCACAAAGGGACAGGTAAGATTTTATACCGTGATCCCAGACACAAGGTGCTGTCAAACATCAGGCTCAAAGAACAGAAGATCAAATGTCAGCCCTTCCCTACCCAAAGTTTTACTGTGTGAGGGAACTTCAGTCACTCCCCTGTTGTTTGTTAAGTGGGTCAAGTGAGGGTTTCACAGAATCACAGAATGATTTGGGGTTGGAAGGGACCTCTGGAGATCACCTAGTCCAACCCCCTGCCAAAGCAGGTCCACCCAGAGCAGGTTGCACAGGAACGTGTCCAGGTGGGTTTGGAATGTCTCCAGAGAAGGAGACTCCACCCCCTCCCTGGGCAGCCTCTTCCAGGGCTCTGCCACCCTCAAAGGAAAGAAGTTCCTCCTCATGTTTAGATGGAACTTCTTCTGTTCGGGTTTGTGCCCATTTCCTCCTGTCCTGTCCCTGGGCACCACTGAAAAAAGACTGGCCCCATCCTCTTGACACCCTCCCTTTAAGTATTTATAAGCATTGATCAGATCCCCCCTCGGTTTATCATTTTTATTCATTATATGAGAACGGTGGAGGCAAAAGCTAAATTTCATCAATAAATCAAATCTTGAAACCTGGGATCTGATCCACTTGAAACCCGGGATCCGACATTATGAAGGAGAGAAAGGGAAAATCGGGTTGTTTTGTGCATGTTTTTCACCTTCTCTACTCCTTATGCCCAGGCAGAGCTCACGCACCCTGAGCTGCAGCCCAGCACCCTGCAGGGCAGGAATATATTCCCCTCCTACTCGCTGTCGTTACCCATCAGCAGGGATTATCCATCCCTCTCACCTACTGCTCACGCAGCTCAGCCTCAGGACAACTAAATCCACCATTCAATGACGAATCCCCCTTTGGAAATGTCAGCG